GACCTTCTAATATTAACATAAATATATATATATATATATATATATATATATATTCCTATTGTATGCATTTATCAACACATGCCTTTCAATTTTTATTTTTTAAAATTATGTTGAGAGATTTGAAAATCTTATTCAAGTAATGGTGAAATATACTATTAATGGTTAGCTCATGAATAAAAAATTATTAAATATCAAACAACTTAAAAGAAGTTAGCATCTAGAGATATTTTTGATTGTGACTTTGTATCTAAAAATATGATCCTTATTTAAAAAATATAAATATCAAATATTTGAATTAATAACATTTAGTATAAATACTACAAAATTAACTTTTTATATTATTATAAAATAAATGTAACAATAATTTCAAAACATAGATAAAATACACTTTAAAAGATAAAATTAATAAAAATATATTTTATTATATAAAATATATTTTAAATTAATAATTCATCACACAAATAATCATACTGGTATATTATTATTTTTAATGTGTATAAAAATCTTAAATTTGAGTTAAATGGAGGAAATCGTTGAACGGACATTTTATATTTATGAATATTAAGTTTTGTAATAATAATTTTTAATAGATATTGACCCATTTATAGAGAGTTCTAATGGGAAGAAGAAAAACTGGGAGCGTTAAATATGGAGAGTTCCGTATGGAGTTGAAAGTCAACCAAGTCTCGCATCACAATTCACAGCAAACACTCACAGTCTCAGATCTCTCTTTCCTTTCACCAATTCGAATCCCTTCACAATGCGAATCCTCCTCGTGCTCTCCCTCGCCACCCTCCTCCTCTTCTCCTCCGTCTCTCCCACCCTCTCCGCCGACACCGCCGACGACGAGGACCTCAGCTTCCTCGAAGACGAGCCCTCCGCGCCGCCGCACGCCCAATTCCACGATGACGCTGATTTCGGCGACTTCGAGGACTTCGAGGACTCGGATGCGCACAAGGAGCCCGAGGTGGACGAGAAGGACGTCGTCGTTTTGAAGGCCAGCAATTTCACCGACGTCGTCAAGAGCAACCGCTTCGTCATGGTCGAATTCTACGCTCCCTGGTGCGGCCACTGCCAGGCCCTCGCGCCGGAATACGCCGCCGCCGCAACGGAGCTCAAGGGCGAGAATGTCGTTCTGGCGAAGGTGGATGCCACGGAGGAGACTGAATTGGGGCAGCAGTACGATGTTCAGGGTTTCCCCACTGTCTACTTCTTCATCGATGGAATTCACAAGCCTTATAATGGCCAAAGGACCAAGTGATTCTCTCTCTCTCTCTCTCTCTCTGATTCTCTCCTTCCTTATAGATTTTGATTTTATTGGATCTGACTTTTTTTTTTGTTTAAATTTAATTGGAATGCAGAGATGCTATAGTGTCTTGGATTAAGAAGAAGACGGGACCTGGTCTATACAACATAACTACATTGGAAGACGCTCAAAGCATTTTGACCAACGAAACTAAAGTTGTTTTGGGCTTCCTCAATTCTTTAGTTGTAAGTATTCACATTTCTTGCTTTTGGGGGATTGCTGTTTCTGTATATGTTTCCCGTCTGAGTTTAATACTAACCAACATGGTGTGATATGATGAATTGATAACTTTTGCCGCATGAGCATGTGATCGGGAGATCAATCTCCAGGTCTGTGTATATGAAAAAATATAGATCAACCCTTTAAATGGATTTCGGTGTTTCAAGAGGATATCCCGGATTCAAAAAGAAAAATGTTTTCCCTCTTTTTCTAATATTTTAAAATGGTTTGATTGGTTGATGTTTGCCTATGATGTTCATCATGAGAAGATGATTTTGGCTTTGTATCCTGGATGACGTGACAATTTTGGAGTATAATGACTGTTTTCCATTGTTGATTTGATTCTCTGGATTAAATATAGGCCCGAGTTGTAATAGTTGAATGAATGAAATTGTTGGTTGTTGTGGTTTGTTTATCCTGTGATGCATGATGTGCAGGGTTCTGAGAGTGAGGAGCTTGCTGCCGCATCAAGACTTGAGGATGATGTCAGTTTTTATCAAACTGTGAATCCTGATGTGGCAAAGCTTTTCCATATTGATCCAGAAGTCAAACGCCCAGCTTTAATCCTTATCAAGAAAGAGGAGGAAAAACTTAACCACTTTGGTTTGTTTAGTTTCTCATTCTTAGTCTTTGTTTCCCATTGCCGTATATTTTCTTTCCTTGTAATGTTGATGTATTTTCACTGTCTTTGCAGATGGTAAATTTGAGAAGTCGGCAATAGCGGACTTTGTCTTCTCCAACAAGTTACCTTTGGTAACAATTTTTACTCAAGAAAGTGCCCCATCAGTCTTCGAAAATCCAATCAAGAAACAGGTTGGTGTTTATACACATGTATCTTATCATGTTGTTATCTGTTGAGAACAATATTCTTCATCACATGCTTTGTGTTTGAAACTTCACTTTTAGGTGTTGCTGTTTGCAACTTCAAATGATTCAGAGAAGTTAATCTCAGTATTTCAAGAAGCAGCAAAATCTTTTAAGGGAAAGGTATAATTTATTACAGGCTACTAATTATTACTCTCTCTTATGTCATTCTTTCTCTAGACAAATTTGCATATGCCTTCTATTTAGAAATCAGCACAGTGCAAATAAAACAGAACAGTGTTTAGCTAGTCATGGAAGTAGATTGAGAGGGAGGGGTTTTGAAATTGAGTTAAAACATCATGTTTTTAAGTTAAGTGGCGGATGGAGTTTTGTATGATGTTGTTTGCTGTACTTAAAAACTGGATGACTATGTACAAAGAAGGTTTTAAAATATCACATGTAAGATAATTGCCAAAATTTTGAAAGCAAGTTCGTATTTGATTAACTTTAGGTCAAGATGAGTGCAGAAGAAAGTGCTGTGCAGAATTTTTCTAAGTTTATCAGTTTTACCTTAATCGTTTATTGTTTCCTTGTATCTATGCACCGTCCATCTGTTTCATTCTATTTTATTTGATGTTTTAGAAAAACATCAAATGAGTAGTTTAATTTGTTAGATTGACAAAGTAGTTTAAACTTGATAGTTTTGAACTTTTTACCATAGGTGTATACCTTGCTATAAGTAATGACACTGCCCCTATTTTAAAATCATTAGAGTTTAGCATTTGACTCATGCCTAATGATGATATCTGAAATTTGTTCTTTTTCTGGTTTTGCTACATTTTACAAACAAACCCTGTCATTTTATATAATGAAATTATAAAATTTACTTTGCGGATAAAATCTCACATCATTCATTTAGCTCTTGCCCCAAAAGGGTACTTAGTTTTTCTTATAATGATTTAATTGTGTTGCAGTTGATCTTTGTATATGTCGAAATGGATAATGATGATGTTGGAAAGCCTGTTTCAGAATACTTCGGTATCAGTGGGAATGCTCCTAAAGTAATTGTTTCTTCTTCCCTGTTTTAATTTTATTTATAAATGATAAGTCATGAAATTCATGACCTTAACATTTTACATCCTTTAAATCATTTAGAAGTATATTTAAGTAACTGGTGGAATTTCCAATATAGGTACTTGCTTACACCGGAAATGATGATGGAAGAAAATTTGTGCTTGATGGAGAGGTGACTGTTGACAAAATTAAGGTACTCTTTGCTCCCTTCCTGCCTAGGGTTCTGTTAATTTTGCTTACATGTTGGGGAATGTACATGGATGCTTTTAACCACCACTTAACAAGGTTGGAAAGCAATATTTTGACTAAATTTCTAATCTTCATTTTCCACAGGCATTTGGGGAAGATTTCCTCGGAGATAAGCTAAAACCCTTTTACAAGTCAGATCCAGTTCCTGAAAGTGTATGTTATTTTATTTCCCCCACAATCATTTATGTCCTATTATTAGTTTTCCACGTCTAAGTGTTTGCTAACTTGGTAACAGAATGATGGTGATGTGAAAATAGTAGTTGGGAATAATTTTGATGAAATTGTCTTGGATGAGTCAAAGGATGTTCTCCTTGAGGTAAAATTTTAACCCTTTACTTCGAGTTATATTTGCATCTACACCTTGATCATTTTAATTTAAATGCTTGTTGGAATCAGATTTATGCTCCCTGGTGTGGCCATTGCCAATCACTGGAGCCAATATACAACAAGCTTGGAAAACATCTTCGTGATATTGATTCTCTTGTAATAGCCAAGATCGATGGAACAACAAATGAGCATCCCAGGGCGAAGGTAAACCCAAATTTTTACTGCAAGCATGTGATACATGCTATTGTTATTATCAATAGAAATGTACTTGGTGCAACTCTTGTTAGGTTTTGGATTTTCAATCAATTATCAGAAGTCATTGTTCCTTTCAAGAATTCATCTATACTAGGCAATGAAAGATGTGAGAATTTATTGATCATTTTTTATTTGGTTTAACTTTGCAGCCTGATGGATTCCCTACTCTTCTCTTCTTCCCAGCAGGAAACAAGAGTTTTGACCCCGTATGTTAATATTAACCAACAGTACATATTTTATCAACTCAGCGACTCTGAATATGCATATGCTTTTGGGTGATTTAAATATATACAATTGTTTCACTGTGTCTGCAGATTACTGTTGAAACAGATCGTACAGTGGTAGCATTCTACAAGTTCCTCAAGAAACATGCATCAATCCCGTTCAAGCTCCAGAAACCAACCTCAACTTCTGAATCCGGGAGTTCTGATGCCAAAGAGAGCCAGAGTAGCAGTAGTGATGTGAAGGATGAGTTGTAAGGAGTTAAGTGATACATTTTTTATTTATAAAATTATTATTCGGACAGATATGACATAGTGACTGAGGGAGAAAATATCAGCTATTTCTTCTCACCCCTGGCCAATAAAGAAAAATAGGAGAAGAGGTGGGGGAGGGGGGTTATTGGCGTCGGAAAGAGGGACAAATGCCAGCAGGGCAACATAGAATTAACTACTTCAATTTTTACAACTGTGGGCATTTTAGAATTTTGGTTTCAGACTTCAGTAAATTCCCCCCTAAATTTTACTTCGCCCCCCCCCGCACTTAAAATAATTATGAAGAAAGTTACATGTATCGTAGAACTACTTGATGCGCGTTGATTTTCTTCTGTATCATCAATATAATGTTGTTGAATGAGAACTGGAGAAGTGATAAATATACGCAAGGGGAAACTCATAACTCACATTGCCTTCGTGAAGAAAAATGCTAGAAATTTTAGGTTTTCCTAGCTCATTTATCCATCTAGATAAACTTCTCCACAAGTATTTTTATGAAGAAAAAAAATAACTTTTTTAAGTTTAAAATTAGTTTATACTTTATATTTTGAAGAAACTAATGAGTTCTTACAAATTAATTATTAAACTCAATTTTACCCCCTCGGTATGTATAGTCATTCTTTGAATGGTAAGACTGTGAATGGAGGAAAAAAGCTTAGATAATTAGGCCTTTTTATGTGCTATCCTTAAGAACTTTTCTTTTTTAATTATATTTAATTATAAAAAGCTATATAAGAGAGAGAGAGAGAGAATAGATAGATTTTTACGGATATAAATTAAAATTGTTATTGTTTTTCTTAACAACGTTATAACAAGTTATAAAAAACGAAAATAGATAGTTTTCTATCTATATAAATTAAATATATTCTTATAGTGTTTAATATTTTATTTGAACTAATTATTTTACAAACTTTTTATTTATTAAAAAATATATAATCTCTATATTTAAAAACAATGAGTATCTGTATGAGAATATTTCTAGAATCTCTTTCAATGAGAGAAAAGTTAAAATTATTCTTTTAATTTTACGCCTAATTCAATTTTTTATTTATCATAATTATTTAATAATTAAATTTTAATATTTTTGAAATAAATTATCAATAAATAAAAATAATTTTATATTATAATATAAATTATTTATCATAAATTTAAAATATAATTTATATATTCAAGCATATACATAATTTATTTTAAATTTTAGTTATATATAATAAATATTTAATATGTGCATTACACAAACTAAAATATTAGTTATACAAATAATTTTATATTAATGTAAAATTGTTATATTTTATTATTTATTATTTAACGTGCATCAAGGTAATATTATACAAATAATTTATGTAATTTATACTAGTTATTCAAATAATTTCAGATTATATTATTTAGTTTTAAAACACATAAGAATAAAATTTACTATTATTAATTTTGAATTTTACAAGATTTAACATGAAAATTTTAGATCATTAGATTTGTTGGGCATCAGCCAAGTCCCTTTGTCATCTTCCATATCTTACAGAGATAATCAATGAGGGACTCCCTTGCTAAATTTGGACTTTTTTATTGTCAGGAAATAATTTTTGAGAATCTTCTTTCTTTACGGATAAATAAAAAATCGTCCTTCTTTTATTTTGATCTTGCTTGTACTGTTGTACTATTTATCCCTCTGGTTTCTAATTGCAGGACTTTAACCTCCTTCCATTAATGAAAAACAAAAAAAGAAGATAATGAATAATTATTGTAACTTAACAGTTAAATTAATTAAAAAAAAACTTTATAGAAGCTATTAAGTAATATATAAAAAATATCTAAGTCTACTTCTATCTCTTCTTTTATAAAATAATAATAATTAATTACCGTGAAGAAGCTTTAAATACTTGAAAACTATAAAGGGCATTGATGAGTTTTTTGAACACTGCAAATTATATATTTAATACCCTCATTGCCATTGATAGCTTTCATTATTCAAACCAACTTGACGTTTGGGAAATCGGAGAGGACGAGATTTCGTTTTCTTTTGTTTCTTATATTTAGACGCCAAATATTAACAAATTAAATGAGCGAATACAAATAAGAATAAAAATATTTTTAATATACTAATTTTTTTATTAAATATTTTTCGTTTATTAATTATTTTACAAGCATTTTCAAATACTCATTAGCATTATTCTATTTCAGTTTATTCTAGATGGACGATGGATATACAAAATCATGTATATTTGCAAAGGTCACTTTTATTCCAAAATATAGATAATACCAGCGCACTTTCTAATACTCTGCTTTGGAAATATTAAAAGATTAGGTCATAATTTTTAGCTTATATGGATAATAATTTCCTATTTTCATTTTTTTCTTTATCTCTTCTTTGTCAATTGAAATATTGAAAGGACATTACTTTCTTTATTTCATGGTAAAATAACACTAAGAAAACTGATCATCTACTTTCATTTAGTCTAATTTTTTCTACCAATATCTGTTAATTCTAATATAAAGATAAAATTTATTTATTGATGTCTCTGTTATTAGTAAAAATATTATATTAAACTCAATATATAAATATCTTAATTTATTTTTTTAGATATGTTATTGATAATTTGAAAGATTAAAACTAAAATTTTAAAAATTATAAAAATTAAAAATAATAATTTTAAATTTGAGAAATTTAAAACAAATTTATCATAAATTTGAGGGAATAAAATACATATTTAAATAAATTAAACATATAATGCATGTTGTGTTTAGAAGTTTAATGTTCTTAAGTTTGTGTGTATTTTTTTTATATATTAAGAAGTATAATTATTTTTCATCAAGCAATTTACATAGAGATAAAATAGTAACTTAATTCGTGACTATATATATATATATATAATTTTTTTTTTTGAGAGAAGTGGCTTAATTCAAATTAATATCATGAAAAAAATTAGTTCTTAACTTCTAAGAGAAAATATGGTTAAAAAAAAAAAAGAAAAGGTGAGTCTTTAGGGAGAAATTGACGAGAGTGAACCTCCCCCTAAATTGCATGTAAGAAGATGAGAGCGTGATAGAATTTATAGACGGCATAAAGTTGTGAATAATTGATATATTTATCGCAAGTAAGCATCAACTGCCACGTGTCCCTTTGGCACTCCTCTGATCTTCTGTTCTGTTATAGTGTGCCTTCTGGCACACTCAAATCAACATTCTCTCTTCATTCTTCCACTTATTTTCTTTCAAATAATTAACCAATGTCAAATGCAAAATTATTCCTTCTTTCTCTCTTCTTCCTCTCTCTTTCACTACACTTGCCTCTCTCCGCGCCGTCACCTTCTCCTTCTCCTTCTCCGAACCTTGCCCCGGCCAGTCCGGCCTCCTCTCCGGCGCCTTCGCCGGCGCAGTCTCCGGAGGACAGTAGCTCAGACGGCGAGGATAGAGCGGAGAATTCATGGAGAGGAGGATTGAGCCGTAGCAAGAAGGCAGGGATAGCAATGGGAGTAATCGTGGCGGCGTGCGTGGGGATATCGGCAGGGATGGTGTACAAGAAGCGGAAGCAGCATTTAAGGCGCTCTAGGTATGCATTGGGTGCAAGGGGAGAATTCCTGTAAACTAAACCATATATGCTCGCTCTTCCTCTATAGGTTTGTTTTCCTTCCATCATTCTTCATTCTTTTCGCTTTTCATTTCTCCCCTCCCCATTCCCTTTCTATCACCATCATTTCGCCTATTTTGCTTCTTCTAAAACCGATTCTCATATATCTATTTTTTTAATATTTTCCAACGTTAATCATTTTATACTAATAGAAATATGGCCATTTGGTTGAAATAGACAGAGAGAAAAACGTTAAAACTACGTCCATAAATAGAGCTTTGGCATTGGCATTGGCATTGGCATTGGACACGAATTACACCCTTATACTATTTGTAAATTTCCGCCCTAAAATAAAAAAAATAATGAATCTGTTTATTTAAACTAAAAAAAAAGTATTTTTAAATAAGTGTTTATAAAAAAGCACAATTTTTTAAAAAGTAGATAGGAGTTACTTCTAAAAGAAGTAGAAATCTTTTTTTTTTTTTTTTTTTTAGTTTAAAAAAATAAAAAAAA